ACCGATAAATTTTATCTAATGCTAAATCGTTCTAGAAACCTGGCATAAATCATTTAAAATTAGAAGGCAAATTACAAAAAATAGAAAAATCGTTCCATATAACCTTGACGCACTTATTCTTTAAAATAACTCGTGGCTGCGACACGTGATTTGTTTTTTAAACTTGAATTCGTGCCTTACGGATGGTGTTATAAAACTTGTTTTTTAATATACTTACTTTTATAATCATTGAGAACTATATTGAATGCTATGTCTATTGAATAAAACAACTTGTAGCAGTAGCGCTTGTAATATACTCGTATTTGTTTACATAAAAAAATATTTTATTTAATTTATAAATTAATTAAGTTGTTAATTAACTGTTCGACTTTGTAGTTAGTCTAAATGTTTGAGTAAAGTGCTTGCTAATAATATTTGTCCAGAGCAGTTATTTACACATTATTTGTTGATACACTTAATTTTGGTGATTTTTGAATATAATGGTACAAAAGGGTCGCTTGATTTGATGTAAATACTGGAATGAATCGGAAACAGCAATCATTTCGCATTTTATTCCATCGGTAAAATTTAATCCAAACGCAAATATTCATAAATTTCGAATTGTTAACGCTAGCAGAGATTAAAACCCAGACGAACCAATGCAGACAAAAATTAATTAAAACACGTAGAAATGAGAACCGTCTGACGAGTCTGTGTACAGAATACAAAATATTTGTTAACCTTAGGTGGTGTTCGCAGTATACATTTCACCAACTTTATGAATCCATTTTTGCTCAAAGGAAGCAATGCAACGACGTGAAGTATTGAATTTTATTTTTACATCGCGGCCAGACTACATAGTGTAGAGAAGTTAATTTAACTTATAATGTAGTGCTCAAAATTTTAAAATATTAAGCGTAAACGTGAGTTTTCGTCTCGAATAAAAAAACTGTAAAAAATATTATACGAAGGTAATTTAAATATTTCAGTAAACCGGCTTTAATTAAATACATGCTAAAATGTAAAAAAAACACGCTTTGTGGCCCGGCGCCTCCACCAGAATTGTTGTGTAATGAAATTGTAGACCGATTTAATTAAAACTAGCAGATAGTCACGTAATTTTGGTCGAAGTTACCCGTTTCAGGATCGTTTCAGCGAGCTGATGTCATGTGAACCAAATCGAATTATTCAAAAGTAACTTATGCATTGTTTAGTAATTTAACCAGACGCCGCAGCTTTGCTAGGCGTTAGGGCTTACCCTGGCCGACCGCAGACTTGGACTTGGAATGCTGGACTGCCTGTTATATTGGCCAGCCGCAATAAGGAACCTCACACGGACAATCAACTAAACAATGGCTACCAAACTATTTGATACGTTTAACAATAAACCGGATTAACTAGATTCGGATTCTATGCAATCAAATTTCTACTTTGTACACACTATTTGTTTTGCTTCAGTGTTTACCTCAACTCACATGAACCAAAAAGTTATACTTAAAGCAATGTTGTAAATTTATAAATTATACGAGTATACCGTTCAGGCGAAAACAGTGTTTTTACCCCATGTCTAAAAGGTAAAACTTTTACTTGTGTCATATAGTCATAAAAGCGTCATTTTATAACAACCTTGTTACACAGTTATTTTTGTTACGATCACTGTTTACGTACAATGTTTATTCAAAAACTTTTTGACCAATAATTTAAAATGGTTCTTTAATTAAATGATGAATAAAATCACAGTAAAGTAAAAAACCTTAAAAAATGTTTTTATCCGCAAACGTCACAAAAGTGACCAGTTTTATGACTAAATGACACAGGTAAAAGTTTTACTTTTCAGACATGGAGTAAAAACACTGTTTTTACGCCTAGGCGTTTTCACTTTTACTTGACACTTACTTTGACATTTACCACAGTTGTCTCTTTCGCTTTTTCAGCATTTTCTGGAGAAGTACAAGCTAGATTGTCAGCATTCGACATTTTGCACTATAAACTACACCAGTTATTCACCAGTTAAATCAATCAACACTTTCGAAATCTCAACACAAATTCCGAAACTGACGCGTGACGTTTGTTATGATTTTATTGCAAAGCGTCCTGATTATTGAGGTGATGTACTTGATTATTGGGGTGTTGCTCTTCATCTCTCCATCTGAATAGTTTGCAGATAAAATACTATACAGGTGCGCCAGAACTCGCGCCCCAGAGCAAAATGCCATATAAGGTAAGATACCAGGAACATGGAAAAAATGTTTAAAAAATTTCATCTATAAAAATTTCGAAGTTATGAGAGTTTAAAGTTTGCACTTTGACTCTATTTATTTCTGTTGGAGAAATAATTTTCCAAGTTTTTTTGCTACAGGCTATTAGAAGAGGAAACAGGTAAGCTGTATCCTAAATTGTAACTCTGTTCAATGTTATTTGTGGCTTTTATTGGTAAAGTTTTTGTACCTTTATTAAATAATTGTAAAAAAAACATATACAGGATCATCAGTATCATTAAAAAGACATAAAAAAATGTCAAATGTCAAAAAATAAATGTCAAAATTTTTTGACAGATAGAATTTTTTAAACATTTTTTCCATGTTTCCTGGTATCTTATGTTACATGGAATTTTTCCCTGGGGCGCGAGTTCTGGCGCACCCTGTATGTTATTTGGAGTAAAAGTGAGTTTATGTGGCTCAGCTCACTCCGTTCGGCAAAATGAACGTTCAGCTTCGCCACATAAACAATCACTTTTACTCCTAATAACATAATCTACTATTAACATCAAAATTGATTTACTGTTTTCTCCAAAAAAAACTTGGGCAAAGTTAGGATATGTTACACATTTGTGATTTTATGTTACAGATTCGATAGCAGACTATTAAAAGAATGTACGCATTACATAAAATGCCCTAATTAACGTTTTAATTGCTATTTATAGGTTACGACAAAAAAATATTCATTTCAACCATTCCTTCCTGCTTAAGACCTGCCAACTACTTGGCCTGGAATTCTAATATTTGTCTCAGCTAGATGAACTGATTCTACTTTTATTATGTTATTAGAGCATAACTGAAGAACTAAATTTGTTGTAAGTACATATTTCAAAATAAGTGAGAAACTCATAAACAGCGAGTTAAAATAATGTTGACAACAATTTTTCCTGAAAAAAACAAACTTAAAACATTCGTATATTTATTTCAGTCTAGAAGCCGAGTACAAACAATTATCTTTTATTCCATCACGCGTTCGAGTTCGCCCTTTTTTATTTTTTGCTGTTCATTTTATTAGTCTGCGCACAAAGGAATTATTACATCTCTAATTTGTGATAATATTATGCAAAAGTTTTTGGTTGTGATATTGTTGCCGACATTGTGTTGTTAACAAAAAATAATGCTGATGGCAAACTGAAAATGAATTTCGTTGTCGGTCTACAGCGTTAATCTGCACATAAAAAACTCATTCTGTATTAAACTGAGTTCATACAAGAAATATTGTACCGTTCTTAATTAAACTAATATTAAATGCCTTCAGAAAAAAAGCTTTTTGAATTCTGCATTTGGTGAGTTCAGGGTGGCGATAAGAATCCGTTAAGTTATTCAGAGATAGGGAGCTTTCCTGACAGATTGGCGTCCCTCTTGCGTCCTGCATACCAAAATTGGGAATCCTAACGAGCCCCACGGACATACCGTTCGCATACGAGATTTTCTTAAAACAGGACTCTAGAGTTGATTTCCTGGATGTCCAAAGCATTGATTACAGAACGTCTTAAATTCTATAACTTGGTCGGAAATCTCTAGCAGGAATGAGAATGTATAGCGATTCTTTTGGAACTTGTTTTTACAAACACTTTGTATATCTAATCTAGAAACGATTCAAAAACACTGGTAACAAGATTGGCCAATTTACTGTGACATCTGTAATCGTAACGGGATTTACTTTTGCCAGTGTACTTGTCGAAGTTGAAAGTAATTTATTTATCGAGAGATAAATTTGAAGCAGTGACAAACTGTAAATGCAATCGGGACGTGATTCGGATGAATTGCACAGGCAATGAATATTAAACAAGTTTGGAACTGGATTATGAAATTAGAATTATGGAGATGTTAAACAAAAATACGTCACATGCCATTCTGTTTGACAACAAGATAATTTCAGGTATTTGGTATTACAAGATTTTCAGTGTTTTCCAGAATTGCAATTTGACTTACTATGGAAATTATTGCATTATCGATTCACCCCGAATGAAATTTACAACTTTCAAATATCCTGCGTGTGCAATTCCGATAACGAACGTTCCCCCTTTATCGAATTACAAACGCTCTGTTAAACATTCGATAATTATAAGCGTTGCAGTTCCACAATACGCACAATAAATCCGGACAAGGTGTGCACGTCTGGATTCGTGAATTGATTACATTCAAACTGAATGGAATTAATTTCACGAGTTGTGCGTCAAGAAACCGAATATGCGATTCGGTATAACCAAGTTAATTAGTTGACCACAGCAGACGTTCTACAGCTTCGCCTTAATCTACAACAGTTTACAGTTTTCGAAAACCGATTTGAAGAGAAATTCGTGCAACTCTCAACAATTCTTATTCAAGTGCTGAAAGACAATGCTTTCCTTTGTCAATCTTAAAAATCCCGAAGGGAGCGTCCAGGGATTGAGATCTCGTGACTCGACGACCAAGTAGCAATGACAAACGAGGAAGGTCCTGTATGCAGAGTGGCCACGATGCACATGAATGGCATAGTAAATAGTATCTTTACCGCATTATCGCTGGTTCGGCAAACTTCACGGTGTAATCACGAACGAAGATAAGTTTGAGACGTCTCATACATCAAACTTAATCACAACACAAGCATAAGCAACACCGATTTAAGCCACTGGAAGTTGTTTTGCGGTGGCAAAGTTTAACACTTGCAAATTTCGGAATGACAGTCATTCCTATGGTGGTAAGAGCAAATTGCTTTGAATATCTCGAGCAACTTGTTCAAGTTTGGGTGACATTTTGGGGTGTTGAAATAAGAGTCGGTTTAGACAATGGTTATATTTATTACGTTTTAAAAATTTGTAATCCCATTGTATTACATATAAAAAGCCGTCAAAAGCTCGATCATTTTTATGTCATATATTATATTGATATCAAATTTTTCACGCATATAAAAAACATCTCGACTTATGCTCGGACGTTCATCGTGAGTCCTACGAATAAAAGGGTTCGAATTTTAGAAATTAACTAAAAATTCGTTTTGGGTCAAATAAAATAAATAACTTTTGTACATTCTAAAGCTTAAGCCACTCGCAGATCTCACAACGTCCTTCCAAGCACCAATTTATTGTTAGCCTAATGTTACAAATAGATAATTTACAATATTCTGAAAGATCCTGACAAATTGCATGCTTCTCCAGCGACATAGGTACTCTAGTAGTGTGAATAAATACATACTCATTTTTATTGTGTGTAATTTGCTGCCACGAGATCGGGTGTTGACGTTTGCGCAGCGTTCAATTTTTGGCATTGTAATCCCTTCAGGTATGGCACATGTTGCTATCTCTATCCTGAAACGCTCCGCTAACGCAACACTCGACGCCCGCAAAACGTAACCTTTCCCAAATGCCCGAGGCCGGACCTCGACGAGTCGAAATCCGGCCGTGGCGGTAAAAAAATTACATAATAAAACCTCTGCTGATATTGCTCATGCTAAACTCTGAAGAATACATCATCAATAATAATAATGATAATAATAAACCGGCACGGGTCAGGGCGGCAGCATTTGTACTCATTCAGTAATCACCGGTTGATTTGTAACTGTCTAGAGTCGAAACTCTTCGATAACAAGTGGCTGGTGCCGCGCTCTGCTAAAGTAGTGCCGGCCCTATCTAGCACAAGAGGCGGCAATGCAGAGCGCCCGCTTCGCCCTCTGCCACCCCGTCCGGCCCCTACTACAGTACGCTATAAACATACATAAACTACCTTCTCAACTCTCAACACTTCCCAATAGTAATAATATGTGTAATTGAAAACAGCGAGGGAGCATCCTAGCGGCTACTCTATACCGGCCGCCTTGAAAGACGGCCCTCACACAACTACAACACCAAACATGGTTACCATTTGTTAATATGTTGTGTGTACCAAATTTGTACTTTAATAGGAGAAAAAGAAACCGCCCCAAAGCGACACTCCGACGATCTTCTGACACTTTACGACAAAATCATCTACATATTCAACTATAGTATCTGACAAAAAAAAACGGACAACAAAATTCACTATCACTAACATTCATTTTTGTATAAAACGTTAAACAAAAAGTATTAATAAACGCTTGTTTAAATGGGATGGATATATTGCCTAAGGATTATGAGCGATTATTCAACTAAAATGGTCAATCTTTCGGCCAAAGTTCGAAATTTCACTCCGGAGTTCGTACTGTGAAAAATCAACGACACTCAACAACAAAACGTACTTTGAGTTTACTAAGCACACTACAAGATAAAGAAGTAGCCCAGCAAACGAGCGATACAAAAAAAGAGAAAACATTTATTGTTAATTGTTTTATGATTAGTTATGTAGCGAACTAAAAACTACAATTGTAGATAAAACAATTATCAATAATTAATAAAAAAAATTAAAACTGTACAGTACGATTTTTAAAATGACAAAAATTTTTTTAACCATTACTTTACATAAGTTTTAATCAAAGTTTTACAAATATCAAAGCGTGTGATGACTGTGTTCTCTTACTGCGCTCAACTGCTTCTGTTATCATGATGTGTGATTGTGGGCGAAAGAAAGGTTTAATGTATGCGAAAATAAAATGCAGGAATGGAGTGGCAGTCTAAATGGGACGGCCCCATAACGCAAAAGCAAGGGAGCCCACGCAACCATGAGAGAGATTCGGTATAACTACACCTAACCTTACCTCACTACAAGATGCAAAATTTTACGTATACAAAATTAGTGTTTTTTTAAAGAATTTTCGTTTTTTATATACAAATTTTTATCACTTCGACGATCATTGATCGTGATCACACGGAACCGGTTACAACATTAATGCCAACTCGTCTCGAAAAATAACTAAGTATCGGTTCCACTTAATTCTATAAAACAGCCGATCGTATAAAAATATATCGTCACAAAAATATGAAATTTCTGTGTACAAAATCACAACTTACAATTATTAGTACGCCAATTAATTAAAGAATTGACTCGTCCAAGTCTTGCTAGGTGACCGCAAGAACCGGTCCCTTTTTGGATTTGCGCTTTTCAATCAGCTGAAGTGATTGAAAAGTGCACGAAATATTTCCTCTCATGGTTGGTGGTTTTTGGATTAAAGACAGCTAGCTAAAGCGAAACACACACGGATACATGTCATTATCTACTTGCAGCCAAGCTACGCTAAAAATACACTATATAGTGGTGCTCTACGGTACGACCCTTACCCTGATTGCGCCTTCGTGTAATATTGTGCATGGACAGCCTTATCGGAGTGAAACGCACGGCTCGGCGCGACTGTTACACGACACGAAAGGGCGCTAAAAACGGTTGTTGATGGTTTTTGGAATGCCGAGCCGCGCGACAGAGAGGACGCCGGACCGCCGCCGACTTATTAATGTCTCGTCTTGATCAGGAGAAAAAAGGACGAATGGTCGAGCTCTGGCAGCCACCGATTGGTCCTCGCACCAGCTGGGGGTGCCCGCGCCTCTTCAACGACTACACCTACTTATTAATTCGTATTTTATTGTAAAAAACGACTACGAACTAGACTTACGATTAATCGACATATAATACCAATTTGAAAAACTTAATGGATTTCCGAATTCGAACACGTTATGTACAGTTTTTGTCCAAAAAACGACAACATTCAAGGATTCTTATTACACGTAGAAAAGTTAGACCGTGAGTTAGGCCTCGATAACAAGAAGCGGTTTTAAGGGTAGTTTAGAGTTGGGGGGCATGCAGTTATCACTACGCTAAGGGACTACTGCTACGCTCGCTATACGTTACAGAAGCTCGCTCGCACTCGCGCAACATATCTAGTCGGTCGATGTGTAGTAAGTATGTACTTTCAAAAAACAACATAAGCTTTGGCTAAACGGAGATAGGAATTATTTTACCCTCAACAATCGATTATATTGTTATCATTTATATAAAATTTGCAAAAGTAACGAACGGTTTGTACTTGAAGCAATTTCCTAGATCCGCCATCTTCATCATAATCACCATCAAGTCTAAAGAGGTATTCGCGGATAATCTGAGCGGCTGAGTTCTTTGTACGTCCGTTTCTGGAAGGCTACGGGTGCAGCAGCGGGATGAAGTGGCAGTGTGCTACTCGCAGGGAGACCGACTGTCCCTGAACCCATCACAACAACAACGACGAATAACGGGACACGCAAGCGAGACCCATTCCATGGTCCCGCACCTTTCACACCTATCACTAATTATTGGGACACAGCAATTATATCATTTTTATTACTATAGTATTATGTGTTACAGTTATTAAGTAATAAAGCGATCGTTACGATCCGTAAACGTAACCAACACAGTTGCCTCTACAATAACTTTAACCTAAACTTTAAATAAAAAATAATAATAAAAAAACACAAAAACAAAACTCAAATCAAAGACAAAAAAACTCAAACGGGATTGCTTCCAAACGTCACTCACTGTCAGTTCAACAAGACCTGCTTTAGCGTCAACTGAATTCGAGCTAGAAATTAAGATAACTATGATCACAATGTCATTCCTTTGATAAAAAGACTTAAGTTGAATATAAATTCACTAAAACCTAACAAACATATAATTAATAATAAACTAATAACATAACGGTTTTATATGCGAAGTATGTCTGAGGGTCGTTTTCAGCCATCCGTTCTGAAAGCGTCCCCCAAAAATAAATGCGATATAAAATGCAACAACATAACAAAGAAATCTAAGTCCGTCTACCGCGCTCTGGTGAGTTGAAGACGGCAAAACTCGTCGAGACGCAGGCCGGCCAGTTCGCGCCACAACAGTCCCAGATCCAAGTCCATTAGGTCTGGTGGCGGCGACGGCGGCGTCGGAGGCGCCTTCGCGAGCGAGGCGGGGGCCGCGGGCTATGGCCACAGTTGCAGTGATCGCAACGGCTGGCGGGTGTAACAATACGCCAAAGGTTTTACGAAGTGCGTGTCGAACGTATGGCAATGAGGACACGGCACTATGTGGCTATAGTCACTGAAGAAGTTCAAACGTTGGGCGGGGTGCAGAACTGGCTTGTAGCATGCGTTGCACTGCAACAAAACCAAAACCTCACCTCAAAATCAAAAAAACTCAAGATTATCCTCCTAAGACCAAAGCAGTGTTTCTTAGAAGAAAGATTTCTTACAGAAACGATAACATTTACTACCTACATACCCATACATACGAATACATGTAGGTATTTATTAAGCCAACGTCAATGGACTATCACAACATGTACAGAAGTTTTGTAATGTAAATTGTAGTCTTCTTCTAGCTAAACGACTCTTTTTTTTCATTTCAGGTTAAAATACGATTGTCATTCATAGAAAACAAAAATTAAGATTAATTAATAGGTATATTTTTTTGTATACGCTCCCGAAAACAGCTGTTTTAGGGACTCATTTGAGTCCCTAAAATGAGACTTTTCCGGACTCAATAAAATAATACGCAAAACGGTTATTTTAGGTACTCAGTCTCCAAAAACAGTTTTTGCAGACTAAAAAATAAAACTAGTTATTACTGTGGTAACAAATTTTTTTAATCGTGTTTTGGGAGCTTTAACAAAAAAATCTTGTATGCACCACGTACGCAAAAGGTTTTAGGTGACTCCTCTCATTAAAAACTCAGCTCCTACGTCGCCTCGTCATTAATTACGATTCGTCCCCTAAAACCTTATTTTGCGTACTTGATACATAAATAGCTACTCGTATTTTAAATCTGTAGTTGATTCGTTGATTCTCCAATATCTGCTATGTGTACAAATCGTCATTTGCCAGAAAGTGAAAAAAACAGTTGTAAACTCAATCCTACATATGTGATTATTATTAATAATTAATTTGATTTTTGTGTATAATTGAACATTTTTAGAATAATTCAGATATTACAATCACCTATACTTAGTCAAAATTGACTTTCAGAAGGTGTAAAAAAGTAAGTACAATCGATGTTAAAATGCACCTAGCAGATATTGCTCTGCAGAAGAAGCACATTCAAAAACTGACTTCCATGTTTTGTAATGTAAAAACAATTCATAAGATTAAAATTAAAGCTTCATTCAAAATTGTTAATAGATTCGCAAATACTTAAAACATAGTGACATCAATTCACCTTCTCCATTTTCTCGTTTACTAATTTTATAAAAATCATAATAACAAAGTTCCTGTTTTTTGATTTTTTATTGTCAAAGATCGTAAAAGATGTTTTATGAAACTTACTTTGATGCGCTCGGTGCAGCACGGCATGGCAGCGAAGATATCGTAAGAGTACATAGTACCCAAAACCAGAGAGGATCCGTCCCATCTCTGGTTGCAGAACCTGCAGATAATCGCGCGTCCATTTACGCCTTCAAGGCATGCCATGCACACTGCTGTCAAGAACTGGGTGCGTCCCTCTACTTTCACCTGCAGAAGACAAAACAAAAAAAGATGAATTACATAATAGCCGTGCTTTGACCTCTAGAACTCACCTCGATACAGCCTTTGGCATGCTGGCGTGGACTGAGGAAAAATGTGCCATCGACTAGAGGATACCTATCGAAAACCGGCATCGTCTCTTCGCAGAGGACACAGTGCACTTTGGAGCGACCCTGAGATGCAAGAGTTGATAAAATGAAGCAGCGAGTATCATCGTTTCCGTGGTTGCCCTCGTCTTCCGTCTAGAAAGAAAAAACACGATGTTTTCAGTTCGCGTGGGGAGATAAGGGCTTTGATCATTTTCCGATTGGGGACGCAGAGGGATAATATCCGGACCAGGTTTAATAAGGTGGTGAGACCGGACGCAATAACCACACTCGACAAACAGCGCAATCCTCGGGCTTGCAAACTGGAAACGAGGGTGGGCCTGCTTGTACAAGATTTTAATAAGACTAACAGTTAAACGCGTGTTAAGATACATGTCGAATAACATCAATAAACGATTTCTTACATGCATAAAGCAAATCATCGTTTAACATTCATGTAACTTTAATAACTTGAATCATATTTCAGTTTTATCCAAGCGCGAACTAAAGACGATCCTTACGAAGCTCCTCTTAAGACAATCTTCAGCAGTCATCTTGCATAAACCTAATACCAGCAGCAGTAGACACGTTAATCTGACAATATAAAAAAATTGGAAACAAAAAATCGCAAGACTGAACATCAACTTTTGAAATTTTAATCATCTCTGAATATGTAAGCTCGGGGATTTTCAAATAAGCCAAGTCAAGGAAAAAATCGGTGGTTAACTTGTCAACGAGTGAATGACGAGACTTTTCAAAACCATTAAATATTTCTACATGAGGAAGTTTCGTTTCACTCACACGTTATTTAGTCAATTTCGCTTTTCTATTATGGTCATCTCGGCTCCTGCTGTGCAAATGTAATGAAGTTGGTCGTCGAGTTTTCGAGTTTATAACGAGCTCTACGGTCCCATAAACCGCACTTTCGCAACTTTCTGCCGGACAGTCAAAAACAGGGAGCGGTTTGTCTTCTAGTACGATGACACCCTGAATTGTTATTCGAACGAAATTTATGGTTAGTGGCTTTCGCCGAAATAAACTTCCGCCAAAAATTTAATACTTTATCTGACAAAATTATAGACATCAATATATCGTTGAAATATTAAAAAACTGGTTGAAACATTTGCAATATAAAAAATATACAATCACAATATGTATGAAAACATCAAAAAATCTGTAATAAACCGATGATTTTCACTCACAAAGTCTATGTTGCAACATTTCTGGTAAATTATACAAAATTATTATTATTATTATAAGTATTATGCAAAATGAAATAAATATATTTGCTAAACTAAATTTTACCGGGGGCTTGCTCGTATCGCGTGCTTCAATTTTAATATTTTAGGCATTTCGCCACAGGTAATGTGTGTGTTGAAAAATCGATCCAAAAAAAGTTAGTACGATTATATCCTATAATTACTTATTATGTAACATGTCAAAAGACTGACATTATACTAGAGTGTGAGTCAATGGTTCTCGATCTACTCGTACATATGCCCACCTACCTAAATGTTATTTTATTGTATCCATTTACTTACAAGCAAATAAAAAAATTGCTAAGCTAACTTATTTATTTATCATATTAAACGAACTACAAATAGTTATTTATTTTATAAGAGTCTTACAATGTATTTTATCCACGACAAGATTTGAATGCGAGAACGAAGTTCGATCGTTTAATTAAGTGGATAAAATATATACATTGTGAGACCCGTATGCAATACAACGTTTTATCCACAAGCAGACAATATAGACTACATCAACATTTCAGAAAATTTTCATTTGACGTTTTGAAGTGACGTTTGTCGAATTATTTATTTTTATTCGTAGTAAGCAGGGCTAATCACGTCACGAGACGGTTACTATTTATATTTCATAAAACCCGTGTTTTTTATTGATATCAAAATATCTCGAATGCGTTTTTGTGTTGTTAATTATTATAAATTCTTTTAGATGTATGTGGTAACTTTTAAAGAACTCGAGATATAAAACATAAAATTGTGAATATTTCATCCAAAGCAAGCTTCGTTCATATTTCCGCATGATAGTAAATGAAGTTCTTAATGTCCCTTTAAACGCTGAAAGTAAGTCAGTTATTGTAAAAATGTAACATTCTTTCGTGCTTTAATCTAGTTAATCGATGACAAGTATTACGGTGCTTAATTGAAACTGTCTACTAAGATATATAGTCCACGAGTTATCATTAAAAAAATCAAGTGTGTTGAATCAAATATATATACTAGGTGTAATAAATCTAGTCACGGAAGTCGCTGTCCTGGCACAAATCAAACGAATTGAATCGTATGGAGTGACTCCGTTCTTGATGCAGTCGCAATCCAGAAACAGTGGTCGCAATTATAGTTGCAAGTTTAATTTACAGCTTGCTACGAATATGGCAAGTGAAATCTGTGCAGTTTGTTCCAGATAGACATCTGTTATTTAGCGATCAATCGTCTCTAAAAGGACGTGCGTCAGTATGGGATTCCAGGGCGCTCCTTTTCACCTCATCATCAAGTCAAAAGAGAGGCGTGTTCCCGTCAAAAGCCAGACTTTCCTCTTGCAACACAACTGTTAACAATTACGCTTCAATTCGATGGATTTTATCACGATATTCACAGGAATTTTTCCTTGTTATCCAAGCCGCACCATATTTCACTGCCACCATATCGGCGAGATTTGAAACCCACGTTGTTCCAGTGGCAGCTCCTAAATCACCGTCGCCTTCCTCAACCGAATTACATGGACCGTTGCGAAAATTAATAGTCGATGTATTGCAAAGTTGCATGTTCGTTTTTCGTTATTATTACCTCTGGAATACCGGTTTCGCAGAGATCCGGGAATGTCGTCCGACACATGATATTTTATCGGAAAAATGTAGGAAAACGGAAATTCGTCTATGCAGGAAACTGATAATTGCAACTAGGTTTAAACAATAAAGACACTTTTCGAGCGATTAGGTAGTTGTTCATAAGTTCGTTAACCGGTGGTTTATGTTGTAGAGAATCAGGGATGCATTGTTCTTCTGACGACGTTATATGGACGTCGCATTGACGTCGAGGTGATTAATTATATACATTGAGCACATGCAACGCCGTGACCTGCCATGACCTGCAATAGGACAACGACTGTACCGGGATGCTAATAACGAATACAAGGACATCTAATTTTAAATGCATTAGACGCCTACTTCTATGCATCAACCAATGCATGGGCCACGCTTTTAAATGTTAACCGACGTTGTCATATAACGACCTTCCGCCGTGTGACAAATTTTACGCGATTTGTTATGAAACATACAGTGGCGTCATTCCCGATGCAAAATTGGTGAGCTGCATGTTTTTGCAACAACATGATCCACTACACAGGCCAAAATCTAATATTAACAAGAGGATTAATCACTTATTGAAACTGTGGAGGCGCAAATTTATGCTCGAATCTTTTAATCCAAATTAATTATTTATGCAAACACTTTTAGTGGCTCTTAAGCTCGTTGAAAGAACATGTAAATATAAACTTTTCCAACTAATACTGCCTGTCTGAAAACCTATTTTCACAAGTGCATGTTGCGCAATCAATCAACAATTGTGTACAAAAATTAACACAAATAATAATAATATCATAGGAATAGCGTATTTTTGTAGATTAACAACCCAAACACTCGAGTGTCTTAAAAATACAGAGTAAAATCCCGACCTTCAAAAAATTCTTTTTTTTTTCCATTCATTTAAATTTTAATTAAAAATTATCAAAATGACGAAATTTAGCGTATTGTTTTGTGGACCTCTTGAGAAGGAAGCGTCGCAAGTGTCGATTCTTGGTGCGTCGTTCCCCGTGCGATCTTTTTTAAGCGGCTTAGTTTAATCCAGTCGTTCACAAGTCACCACCTCGCAAAATTAAGCCGAAATCAGATCTTTCCGTTCTAGATTTTCGGATTTTCTCTTCTTGTTATCAGCGACACGGAAAATTATTTTTGTTATAATGTATTTTATTTCACGGAAGCTTTGATGATGTAGTTTTTCAACGCGGAAATAATTTCACGGCAATGTTCTGAAAGCTTCGTGCGAAAACAGCCCGACGCGGATTAGTAAACCACCACCTAACCGTCGAAAAACTTTTAGATTGAAATTAATTATTAAGTAAAAAAAGTTAAGGAGGGATTTGCAAATTCGACGAACTCGCTTGATAAAATCGACGTCCAATTAATATCCCAAAAGTTTCGTAATGAATGGCAGAGTGCTCTTTGGAAAAAGTTGCTTAATTGGTCGATTGATTGTTTTTGCGTCGCTCATCAATTCAATTTTGTTATTGATTTCAAGTCGCACTGTTTCCCGATTCAATTTGATGGGAAATGACAAATCGTGGCGCGTAGAAGAAAAGACTCGCTATTGTCAATCACTCTTCCGTTCACTGGTTTCCTGTTGTTCAACACTTTTTCTTTCATTGGTCCTGTCTGGACGACACGACTGTTGTATGTTTCCTTGATGGAAGTGGTTCATGTCAACAAAACTTCGCTTTTAATGTCCCTAACTCTCACTTTTCCCATCGATTCGACTCCAACTCCTACCCCTTATAAGACAATTACAAATATTTCACTCCTTCACCATTACAACGCCACTAAATAGAGTTATACGTGTTTGGTTTTTGCCGTGTTCAGAGAAATAAATTGTAGAAACGCTGTAAATTTTCGTGCTTCTCGGCTATTCAAGCTTGTGTATGTAAGCGGTATTATTCGTTTGAAGAGTTAATTATGACGCTTGGAAAGTTATAAATTGAAAAGCAAATGAAAATGTAAATACAGATCTTAATGGACTTCCTTGGTTTGTTTAGTTACATAAGATTCGTTATTAATTGGTAGCACTAATCATCTTTTCTTTTTAATGAGCATCTGAACAGATCATCTCGAAACTCGTGAAACTTCATGATCGTCTTTCGCAATCCTCTCGAGCTTTATTATCGGATTTTATTTCGTACTCCCTGCAAAGCTCCGTTTCTTCTCATGTCTATAAAGGCGTTCTTTCTGAAATGCATTTTTCATGATCGTCGCGATGTTTTATTTCCGTTACACCTGGCCCTTACAGCCAGAGCACTTCTCGTCGCCGACGACAATTTACGCCCATCCGTGTTGCTTTTACGACATTGAAACACCCAGCATG